TGACGCCAATCACCTCCCCGTCCTAGGAGAGGACAGCGTCACCGTGGCAGCGCTCTGAAGACCCATTCGCATGAAAAGCAGCCCCCCCCACGGGCTGCAAAGGGGGGGGGCTGCAAAGGGGGGAGGGGCCCCCCCTGTGGCTCGCAGGCCGTCCAATGACACCCCTGGGCTCCCCTCACCCAAGGACACAGCCGGGCCTGGGCTGGGAAGAGAACTGCAGCCTGCTCAAGGAGGAGAAGCCGCCTCTCCCCCGCCCCCCAAGCAGCCAGAAGGAAGAGGCAGAAGCCCCCGCCCCCACCCCCGGGCGCCCAGCCCCAGGAAAAACCGGCCAGGTGCCTGTCACGTGCAGAGCACTGGGAACTTACCAGGTTGACCAGCGGGCCACCAGAGTTCCCAAACTGTGGAGGGGAAAGGAAAGGTATCCTGAGGAGCCACTCCGTGGGCTCTTGCAGAGGAAGGCCCGAGCCCCTCCCGTGCGGCAGATGCAGCACCCCCAGTCAGAGAAGCTCCAGAGGGGACAAGACCACAGGAGCCTTACGTCGATGGCAGCGTCTGTCTGGATGTACTCCATGTCCGAAGCGGCCAGGCCCAGTTCTCGCCCTCCTCGCTGGACCGAGCTGACGATGCCGGACGTGACGGTGTTCTGGAGGGCAAAAGGGCTGCCCATGGCCACCACAAACTCACCCTGGCGCACCTCTGATGAGCGGCCCAAGGGCAAGGTGGGCAGGGGGTGCTGAGGGGAGAGGAAGAGGCTGACGTTGGGGGCGGCACTTGGCTGCAGCATCCCCCTGAGCCAAAGAGATCCGGGGGGGGGGGGGAGTGGTTTGGACCATCACTGGGTCACCCACCCTCCGGAGCCAAGAATCCCCAATCAGACTAGCTCACGGATGGAGGAGCTGCCTTCCTCTGTTGCATGGGGCTGGAAGGATCTGGAGCCACTTCTTCCATCACACATGCAACCCAGAATCTGTGTGCGTGTGTGGTTCTACAATGTTCCCAGCTTCCAAGGTTAAAAAACGCCTCCTGCCCTACCCCAGGACACCCGGAGACCCACATCCCTCCCTCCCCAGGGTTTGGCAAAAGCCAGGCACCTTGGGGTCGATCTTGATGGTGGCGATGTCCGCGACCGGGTCTACCTGCCGCACGACTGCATTGTAGAGCTCCCCGCTGGCCAGCCGCACCCTCACCCGCCTGCGGTTTGCCACAACGTGGGCATTCGTCACAATGAGGCCATCTGCAGACACCACAAAACCAGAACCATTGGAGATGGGTAACTCACGCCCCGAGAATGGATGCCTGAGGACAACAGGAGAAGACGACGGGCAATCACACACTCCAAGTGGGGCGCACGCATGCCACCCAGCACCAGTACCCAAGGAGAGGCCTGAGCCCTGGGGAGGGCCTGGCGATGGCTGCCCAGCAAGAGGCCCTTTTCCAGGTCACACCGGCAGGAGGGCGGCTGTGGAGGAGCATCCTCCCAGGGAGCAGGAAGAGCCCTCCTCCTGCCAAGGCTCCACTCAGCTCTTCTGGGCCCAGAGCGAGGCCACCCAGAGCGGCGGGCACACTGCCTCCCCAGCATCTGCCTGGATCGAACTTCAGTGCGTCTCTTGCCCATCTCCTGCGGCCCAAGAGGGCTGGCTCTCCATCCGGCCTGACCTGAGGGCGAGGGGAACCGCTGAGCAGCCCGAGACCATGAGTTCCCTCACCGCCTACGGGAGCACGATGCCCCTCCTCCTCCCCCCTGGCCATTCACGTTTCTGTCTGACTTAGAGAGACAACATTTTCAAAACATTTGAAGACACGGGGCGGGGGAAATCCCCCCCCACACACACACACACAGTTTTCGGGGAAACTTCGAAACGTATGCTATACTTGCTTGCCTAACAAATCTAAACTTATTTTACAGATTTAACACCACAGAACAGCTCAAATTCAATTCAGTCACACCTCAGAGCCCAACCAGATTCTCAGAGTAGGGACTTTCAGCAGTCACAGGCAGCTAAAAGACCAGCGGCAAAGAGGTGGAATAGACGGACAGTTCTCACAGTGGGAGGAAGTCAGCACTGAGGTCCCACAAGGATTGGTCTTGGGGCCGGTGCTGGTGAGTTTATTCATGAAGGATCTGGGACGAGGGGTGAGTCGTGTCGTGGCCAAGTTGGCAGAGGAGTATTCAGGATGCTGACCTCCAAGAGGACCGCCACAAACTAGGGGAGGGGGCGGCAATGGGGCAAATGAAATCCAGGGCTGGTTAAGTGTCAAGGCGAGGCCCATTGGGACAAAAGGTCCCAGCTTCAAGTCTAGGTGAATGGGGCCTAAACTAGCAGAGAATGGGAGGGGAAAAGATCTTGGGGTCGTAGTGGATGGCTCAATGAAAGTGTCAACCCAGTGTGCTACAGCACTGAAAAGGGCAAACTCTGTGTTAGGGATTATCATGACTAAAACAGCCACTATTGTAATGCCCCTGTATAGATCTATGGTGCGGCCTCATTTGGAATACCGTGTACAGCTCTGCTCACTGCATCTCCAAAAGGACACTGCAGAGTGGGGAAAAGTAGAGAGAAGGGCAACCACGTGATTAGAGGGTTGGAACACCTTCCCTAGGAGGAAAGGCCAAAGACTCTGGGACTTTCCAGGTTAGAAAAGAGACAACTAAGGGAGGACATGAGAGATGACAGTAAAATTACACAAGGGGTGGGAGAGTTTTTTCCCTTTCCCAAACTACTAGAACCCAGGGGCACCCAATGAAGCGGATGGGCAGTAGGTTCAGGACGGACAAAAAGAAATACCTCTTTCCACAGAGAGTGATGAAAATGTGGAATTCGCTGCCAGAGGGTGTAGTGGTGGCCACGGGAATAAACAGCTTTAAGAGGGGGTTGGATAGATTCATGGAGAGTAAGTCTATCAATGGCTACTAGTCATGGTGGCTGAGGGGAGCGCCTCCACGTCCAGAGGCAGCGAACCTCTGAATCCGAGCGCCAGGAGGCAACCTCAGGGGAAGGCCTCGGCCTCCACAGCCCCGCTGTTGGCCCTCCAGAGGAAGTGGCTGGCCCCTGTGTAGGTGGACCCCCTCACCGGTCTGATCCAGCAGGGCTCTTCTCCGGCTCTTAAAGTTCCCTTTGCCAGAACTGCAAACTGCTGCACACCACTCAACATCCCCCCTGCGGTGCATTCGCAGTGCAGGAAACGCTCTGCCAGGCGGGCTTCCCCCAACCAAAAAGGCAGCATCCCAGAAGGGATTTCCCGGGACGGCCCAACACTGACCAGCCTTTCCCTTGGAGGAGGAGGAGGAGGAGGAGGAGGAGGCGGCCGAGAGGGACCAGGCCCGCCGACAGAGAGAGCGGCCCGGGTGCGAAGCCAGCTGGGTGACCCGCGGCCTGACGCTCCATCCCCCCCCCC